TTCTGTTTGCAACTATTTTAACAAATATTTAAACGATTCTTCAGCAGCCAATTTGATACTGCTGAATACCACCAATAGATAAGTATTGTCAAGCTGAAAGAATCACTACAAATGTCATTCAAAAAAGTTCTAATTTGTAGCTGTTGATATAGACAAAATAATCAGCTGTCATCAACTTTCAGCCGTTTGTTGTTTAACTGTTTCGTGTCCTTTTTTTCCCCCTTTTTGTTAAGATTATTCTGATATTCATGTGGTTGTTTTTTTTTTTGGTTGTTTATCTCTGTCTACTGGTGATGTGCTTTTTGGGAACATCAGCAAGTGAAAGAAAAGCTTTTTTTCAAATAAATTTTTCTCAAAAACCACACTTTGATTGGCTTTATTATCAAAAAAGAAACAAGTTAGCTAATAAGTTTGAATGTTGTTCCTTATTGAAAAACTGATAAAGAAAAGCTGAAAAAAACATTTTTTTTCTTTTCTAGAAGCGTTACGTTTACTTGCCATCGTTATTGCGGGAATTTATATGAACTACTTATATTGCTTAGGTTTTTTCCAAGTGTATTTTTTTCCTCACTTTCACCCTTAATAAATTCATCTGAATATTTTAGAATTTTAATACATTTTCAACGTTTTTTTCAGTTTATGTTGTTTTTTTTTGGCTTTAATTTCCTCTTTTCTTCTTCTCTTCTATTTCGTGGTTTCCATCTTTTTTCAGAACTCTTATACAAATCTAGAACTAAGCGATTTATTGAAGAATTGCAATCCAGTTGGTTTTAAGATATAATAATTGTCAGGTTTTTCCTTACCATTGATTGATTGTCGTTCCGGTCTTGTCATCGACGTATGAAAATTATTGGTAACAATTAGAACAATTATTTGATCGTTAAAATTTCTTCTCTTAATACCTGAAGTTGAAGCATATAGGTAAACTTTTGAACACCAAAAGATGGCAACGGTAGACGTCAATTAACGAAGTGAAATAACAAAAGATTAGAAATTATTTGCTGTTGATTAAATAAAACTTTAAGAAGTTATCTTTGTAGTTATTTCTGATTATAACAGTCATACAACTGAGCTCGACAAAACGTTTTATTTGACGCATAAGAGACGGTCATGCTCAAATGACAACACCTCATTTTTTCCTGTTCGTTTTCACCTCTTTTTTTCTTAATTAAAGCGAAAAGAAAAAAGCATTTTAAGTACAACATTCTGATTATAATGCAATTTTTAAAACAATTATTTTGACTGTCAAACAGATATGAATATGCGAAGAAAAAAGAGGATGAAACAAATGGCTGATACAAAGCTGAGAACTTGTCGCTTAAAATAGAGGGGTGAGATTGACTGAAAGATATTAATCAAAAAAACAAAACTTTTTTAGGTTAAAAATCTAATTTGTAGTTGCTTAAAATTTATTTATTTTTTCATAAACTTTTAAACACAATTACCGTTGTTTAGTAACCAGTCATTTTCACTGTTGCTGACAAAACTTGGTTGTTGGAAGGAAAACACCAAAACGTCTGAGCACTTCAACATATGCTCGCTGTGTGTACGTGAAATTTTAATCGCAAATTTAAAAAAATTTTAGAACGTCTATTTTTACTTTTTTTTTTGGTACTACTTTAAGAAACAAGTGAGAAACCACTAGTTTAATAAATGAAAAACAGTATAAAAAAATATTTGGAACACTAAGACCTACTTTAAGGATGACCTTCAGATAACGAACTGAGCTGGTCATAGATCAACTGAGGTTGTCAAAACGTATGATCACTGGAATCTGACGGTTAGCACGTGTCATGTCGCCAAATTTTTCTTTTATCTGGTTAACTTGAAGCATCTTTTTAACCATTAATTGATCAATGTGATCAATTTTTCATTGTTGTTTGAAATTAACGGTGATCTATC